AAAACAAGGGCGGGGAGAGAGAGAGAGAGAGAGAGAGAGAGAGAGAGAGAGAGAGAGAGACTCAAGGCTGCAATCATCCAGCTTCCATAGGTTTTTGCCATAGGGCAGGCGCCTCCATGCCCTGAGTCTTCATAAATTATACAGATATAATTGTCATAATACATTATTATTTTGCCTTGAACTTTCAAAATGATGATGTAGTTTATACCAAAGTACATGCACTCCCACAGGGATTATATGATGACTTTTAATCCTTTTTCTTTCAGCTTGTTATACCAAGTAGTCTTAGTGTTAAATTCTACATTTTATATCTTTAAGCAGATGTAGGTATATAATACCTCCTTATTGTATTTATCTAAAGTCCTAAAATTTTAAATATAAAAAAACTAACAGCATTAACATGATAAAACTAAACATTGACATTTTAAATTACTAAAAATTTATGATATTCTTTTTATCTCTTATTTTTTACATTTAATCACCGTACATATTTTAAAGAGATTTTTTGTTATAGGGCATGTGCTCTCACTGGAGAGATAGAGACAGAAAGCAAGAAATCACCCGTGGGGGCTGGGGGGTGGCCACAGCACAATCCCTTCTCCATTCTCCCCTTGGGATTTTGGGCATGCATGTACCTCACCAGGTCCACGACTTGAACCACAGTCAACTACATGGGAGTCCAGCAACATAACCATTATGCCATCTGCTGGTTCCTCAATCACTGTACATCTTTACAGCATACAAAATAGATTTTCCCAGCATGAATACACTGTATATTAGTCCAGTCAAAGATATTACCATACACATTATCATCACCAAATAATTTTCCATTTTTGTGTTCATTAAATGTTTTGATTCTTGGGGAAGCCAGCAGGTGGCATAGTAGTTAAGGCAGTGGACTCTCACATGGCCAACAGCAGTTCAAGTCCCTGTCCTAGTTGCTTGAAACTCAGGGAGTGTGTGTGTGTGTGTGCATGCCCAAAGTCCTAGAAGGAGAGTAGAGGAAAAGGGATTACGGTATGGCCATCCCTCCTGAGGGGTGAGTTCTCACTTTTCCTCTCACTGTCTTTGTCTCACTCCAGCAAACATATTCTCACTTTAGCAAAAAAAAATCTAAAAACTAAATAAATATATAAATAAAACTTTTTTGTTATCCCACCCCTCAATTCCCTCCCTTCCAACCACTTCTCCTTTACTTGGAAGATTTAAATAGAAAATGTTGATAGGTCTATATAACTTTACAATATTGCCTAGGTTTTTGAGTTTGGGGGTTTTGTTTGTTTGCTTTCTTTAATTTGCCAGGGAGAGTGAGAAAGCATCCTCTATGGGGGGATGGTCACACCACAATTCCTTCTCCATTTCTCCCTCCTTTCTAGATTTTGGGCACAGGTGTACATGCACCTGGTGTATATTTCTCAAGCTGCCAGGTCAGAACTTGAACCATGCAGCCGGCTGTGTGGAATCTAGCTGCCTTAACTACTATGCCACTGGCTGGCCTATTGTCTAGCTTTTTATGTGAACCAATTTGTAATGTAAAACATATTTTAGTTGTAAATCTACATTTATATTATAATTGCATAGCCTCAAAGCCAATTTTCATAATGTAAACTTAGAGATTTTATAATGGCAAACATAGTAACTTTAAACAATTACCAATTCAGCCTTAAAATATGCCATGTGAGTTTTCATTTTATAATATTCTGTAACAACTATACAACTGTCACAGAGATGAAACAGCCTTTTATAAAGAATTTGAACCTATAAATATTGAATCCAGAAATACTGAAAATTTATGTATGTAACTTTCTTAGGGAAAAAAATCTTGTGTACGTATAGACAGAGAAAGTACACTCAAATAATCAAGTAAATGGGCTAATAGGTTATAATAGGTAAATTTGGGTAAAGGATATGATATACTCTTTATACCTTATTGATGCCTGTGATATTCCTGTAAGTTTGAACGAGTGGATGGCATGATGATTATGTCACTGGACTCCCACATAGTCCACCGTGGTTTGAGTCTCAGATCTGGTGGCTTAAACTCACATGGGGTGCGTGTGCATGCATGCCCAAGATCTTGAGAGGAGAATGGAGAAGGGATTGCAGTATGGCCAGCCCTCCTAGGGGGTGATTTCTCACTTTCCCTCTGTCTCTGTCTTTCCAGCAAGCACACATATGCCCTATAGCAAAAATATTTTTTAAAGAGATTATTTCTAAATAAGTTAAAATGGGGACCAGCAGATGGTGTAATGGTTACATTGCTAGACACCCATGTAGTAGATCTTGATTCTAGTCCTGGACCTGGAAGCTTAAAAGTCACACCAGGAACATGTACGTGCCTGTCCAAAGTCCTGAAGGGAGAATGGAAGAGAAGGGATTGTGGTGTGACCATCCCCCCAGGGTGTGATTTATCACTTTCTGTCTCTCTCTGTCTGTCTCTCCTGTGAACATACATTCCCTCTAGCAAAAATTTCTCAAAAAAAAAAAAAAAAACCCTTCCCTCAAAAAAAGAAGTTAAAATGAAGGGACATGAATTGACAGTGACAGTGGAAATCGACAGTATATTTGGAGATGAATATATCTGATGGATAAAAATTTGCACAGTAGTGGTAGTTTATCTCCTTTTCCAGTTTAAAAGTCAAAGGCAGGCCAGCTCCATAGCCTAGTGGTTAAGGAGCTGGATCCCATGTGGCTGGCCATATAGTTCCAGTCCCAGACCTGGTGGCTTGAGAAACACACCAGGCACATGTGCATGCATGCCCAAAATCCCAAAAGGAGGGAAATAGGGAGGGCAAGGTATTGTGGTGTGACCATCCCCATAGGGGTATTTTCTCCTCCCCCTCTGTGTCTATTTCTGTGTCTCTAGAGAGTGCATGCACCCTCTAGCAAATTCCTTTTCTTTCCTTCTATCTTCTTTTTTTTGAGAGGTTTTTGCTATGGGGTGTGTGCGCTCACCAGAAAGACAGAGAGACAGAAAGCGAGAACTCACCCTCTGGTGGGGGGATGGCCACACTACAATCCATTCTCCTCCATTCTCCTCTCGGGATCCTGGACCCACACGCATGTGCACCCAGTGTGAGTTTAAGCCACCGGGTCTAGGACTCAAACTGCGTTTGACTATTTTTTTTTTTAAGTATAATTTATTTTATTTATTTTTTCAAATTTCACCAGAGAGAAGCAGAGATTGATTTCTTTTTAAAAACCATAAGAAAAGTTAGGAATTTTTGTGAACAATGTTTTGTGTTTTTTTTGTTTGTTTGTTTGTTTGTTTTTTCCTTCCCAGAGATAGCCTTGAAATATAACTAGCTATTCCATTTTCCTTTCCTTGTGCGGACCCTATGCTCTCCTTCCTTGGACCCACAAGTACTATTCCAAGCCATCCAGATCTGCACCTGTGGAAACTCACCTGCAGCTCTTCTTTTTTTTTTTTTTTTTAAATTTTTTTTTGGGTTTTTTTTTTTTACTTTTTTTTTTTTTTTTTTATTTATTCATTTGTTTATTTCAATTTGACCAGACAGATACAGAGTGAGACAGAGAAAGTGAGAAAGCAAGCCACCAGGTCTGGGACTCAAACCGCGGTTGGCCACGTGGGAATCCAGCGCCCTTAAACACCATGCCACCTGCCGGCCCCACCTGCAGCTCTTCTGGACCAACCATTTTCTGTTGATCTTGGTGACAAATGCTCTCTGATAGATCATTAAAAAAACTGTATCTTTCACTTCTATGGCATAGATCTAGATCTGCTAGATCTACAATTAGGTCATCATAAAGGACAAATTTGGTTCAGC